TCAGCCCACCAGGGGGCGGGGCTGGCTGCCATGTGGTGCTGGGGGATTGAACTGCGGTCTCTGCTTTTGCTTAGCTTAGCTTGTTCTAAGGAGGTGCTTTAGACCACTGAGCCATCTCACCAGCCCCTCACATTTGAATTTCTGAATCATACAAATGTACTCCATATTTTTAAAAAATCAGGAAAACATTATACAGTAATATAACCCCAGAGGTAAAATCCCAATACACTAGGAGCTACAATGAGCACCACCACACTACATTAATCAAGAGTGTCTGTGACTCCAAGCTGGGCATACTGACCCATGAGACCTTACAGACACCAGGCTTCGCCAAAGGCCAGGCTGACCCCCGAGCTGGTGAAAGGGAAGCGCTCAGCACAGCGACAGTGAAAAGCAATAAAGCTAAGGCCAGGCAACAGCCCAGGCACAATACTTAATCTTCAATAAGTCCTCTTAGAAAGCTTCCTGCTTGGTTTTAAGCATGTTTATTCTCTGGAGTGACGGCTCCCCTTTGCTCTACGCTTCTTCACAGTCACATACAAAGTCAGCGTAGAAACAGAAGCTGCGTTCCAGAAGTCTGCCTCTCAGTAAAGTTTCTTAGAAACACAATTACTTAATAAAATAATATAATCCCATATCAGAATGATTAATGCTGTATTTATATGGAAGGTATTACTGAAAGTATAACAGTAGATTGACTTTGCATCCCATGCTGCGCAATTTAGACTCCAAACCTAACCCTTAGCCAGCCAGCCAGCCAGCCAGCCAGCTCGCTACAGCAGCAAAGTCTGTCAGGCCCTGCACACTACTGCCAGATATCGTACTGATGCTGCACATGCCCGTGATAATCCTCATCAAATCCTACTCCCAGCAGTACCATGTTACTTTCTAAATATGCCAAGTATGCCCAAGTTATGAAGCCCTTCTCTGCTCCAGAGTTACTGTGGTGTGACAGTTCAATCTGCAGAAGGCCAGGCAGACATACCTAAAGTTAACAAAATTCTGTGGTGGCAGCTTCTGACATGTTCTCCACAGATCTTGAAGTTTTTTGTCTTGATCTTGCACACTGAAAAAAAAAATGTTCACGAAACTTATTATAGCGCATTACTGAGACCTGTATTAACACCCGGGCACACAGTTCATGAATCCGGTCCTTTCCATGATCAAACATCCTACAGTCAGCGCTGAACGTACCCACTGAATTGATGCAGCTCTCGTTCGACTTGGTTTGTGACCAGAGTCTGTGAGCTGAGGCCCCACCGTGGCTGGCAGAGAAAGAGTCCCAAAGGTGCTGCCTACCTCCCTGGCCCGCAGTGCTGCCAGGAGGGGTAGGAACGCCAGGAGGGGCCCAGGCAGAGGAAGTCAGGACCCAGGCTGCGCCATGAAGGGCACTGGGACAAGTCCCCTGAGCCCCTGCCTCCCAGCAGCCCTGGGCAGAGGCCTCCCGTGCCCCCACCTCACCGGTGCACCATGCTGCCTGCGCTGTCACAGGTCCAGAGCACAGGACCAGCTTGCGAGGGCCTGGAACCCGGAGCCCAAGCAAACCCTCCTCCTTTAAGTTGGTTATTGTAGGCATTTGTCCTAGTGATGGAAAGTTAGTTAACATTTGCTACACTGACACTGATCAGCACCTTCAGTGTTTTCCAAAGTTTGAAAACAGCACAGATCTTAGAAATAAATGGAGTCAAAGTTCAACTAACCCTGTTCAACGTGGAGCAGGCCTACACTCACCAGGACTCAACTTCCTCCTTTGCAGAACAGGGTGAGTGAATGGACTCCGCTGGACAATCCTGAGCCTCGGGCACAGCTATGTGCTGCTACCCAGACCAGGGCAGGCTTGACCCCGAAGACACACTGCACGTCCGTCCCGTCCAGCACATTAATGCTGGCTTTGTGGAGCTAGGCCACAGGTCACTTGCCAAGCCTATAAGCCCCCAGGCCTCTGGCAGGCTCCTTGGCTCTCAAGCCCCATCGAAAGGCTTTAGGCAGAGAAACCTGTTTCTGCCGTCAAGTAGTTACCAAACTCCAGTACTACGGAGATGCAACACACAGACCTGCAGGGAAACCAAAGAGATGGCAGGTCCTGCAGAGCACGGCTCAGTCTGCGCAGCAGGGGAGACAGCCAGGAGATGACTGCTCTGCACAGCAGTACAGGTCAGAAGCTGAACACACTTGTCCCACACCAGGGAGGAGGCCCAGTGACACTGCAGGACCACAGAAGCAAAAGACTGCATACAGAGCCCTGTCACCAGCTCTCCACCACTGTGAATGAAAGCCTGAGAAAAGGGGAGGAAGCACCTCCGGCTCAGTCCCCGAGGCTCGGCTCACGGCAGAAGGGCATGGTGGGGCCGATTGCTCAGCTCGTGGCGACTGGGGAGCAGATGTGAGGGGACCAGGGAGGGGACAGTGTCACGCCACACATGCTTCAACTAGGCCCCATCCCCAAAATGTCATCAAATTATGGCCTCACCATGGAACTACCACCAGAGGCACACTACACAGCTATCCTACCGGGTGCCTTGTACCACTGTGGTACAAACAGTGCTAACAGCCTGTTCACTAATAAAAATCAAAAAATGTCACAAATGCCAAGTTTCTGAGCTGGACTATATGGAACAAAGAAGGCGCTGGCAAAATATACTTGATGAAAATCACCTGGAATTTCCACATCTGTTTTACTACTATCTGGTGGTAATCTCACAAATTCTCCTAACATTCCTATTACGTTGTTAAGATAATCACTTAAATCTCAGATCTGGGAGCTAAGGCATGAACCTGCTTTCACTTGTAAGGCTTTTTAGTCTTAATTATGAAATTAAAACTCGAATCAGATCTCTTATCTCCCAAACAAGTGTTTTTTTTTTTTTTAAGCTAACTACATTAAATAATGTTTGTTTTGAAGTTTTAAAACAAAATTTCAAAGAAATAAAAAAAATCAATAAAACACTGACAGACACAGTGGCACATGCCTGCAATACCCAGCACTCAGGAGGCTGATGCAGGAGGATTACTCCACGTTTGAGGCCAGAATGGGATATATGGTGAGAAATACATAACAGAACCCTGTCTTTAAAAATCCCTAAAAGTAAGGATAAATGAAATTATGAAAAGCGCACAAGCCGCCTAGTGGCGGTCATGCATGTACCACCTCAGGCACCCCCTCCCCTCCCCTCCCCTGCGCTGCGCTAATCCACCAACAGCACGTGAGCCCTTGCGGCCAGCCACCTTCCGAAACTCCCACCTATGAACACAAGGGGCCTTGGGAACATTTCAGTTTTAAAATTGTAACGTCTGCTCTTCCTGTCAGGGACAAATGCTGGAGCCTCAGAGGAGCAGCCAGGAGGAATAACGGAGGCGACCCAATGAAAGACACCCGAATAGCCCCGCGTGCCTGACAGTGACTGTGTCAAGTTGCTCAGGTCCAAGCTAGGCCCAGTCTGTGTCCCAAGGATACCACGACTGAGAACTTGTCCCTGAATCTAAAACCCTCACCACCCCCAGCCCCAGGTCTCTTGTTTCACAACTATGGAGAAGAACTCAGACCTAAACATCTAGGGAAAGCAGCATAGGATGAGCTCGCAGCCTACGCAAGTGCTAAGAAGATGGCCCACAGCGCATCATGCTGTCTGCAGGGAACGTGGCGGTGTCCGCAGATGCAGACCAAGGCGGGCGCTGAGGTCAGGGCCGGGGAACTGGCTGTCCAGGACAAGAGGCGAGTCGGGGCCAGGAGGGAGAGGGTGAGGGTGGGCAAGCAGCAGCCAAGAGCAGAGCCCAGCCTGTATGCTACAGCGACGAGCCTGCGCCTCCAGCCAGCTCCGCCAACTGCATGCTGCTACTGCTCTACCTACAAAGTAAGGGCATAAACATCAGACTAAACATCTGGGCAAAGCAGCACCGGGCGAGCTCCCAGCCTCCGGAAGTGATCGGAACTGATGGGATCAAATGGTCCACAGAGCATCATGACCATCTGCCAGGAATGTGGCGGTGTCTGCAGATGGGGACGAAGATGCGAGCTTAAGTCAAGGTTGTAAACAAAGTAAAGCAGGGCGGGGCTGGGGAAGAGAGCTCCGCGGCATATGCGCCTGCCTGGCAAGTGCAAGGTCCCAAGTTTGATCCCCGGTACCACAAAAAAATCCGACGTAAAGCAGCAAACACCTGCCTCTCCTGTCAGTCAAGGCTCACGGAAGGTAGCTACCTACAGATTAGTTCCGTTCTCAGCACACAGTAACTGCTGCTGCTGCGAAGTCATCATCATGTCACTACACAGCTAAGCCTGTAAACACCGGGCAGCCACGCTGCCACTCAGCCACAGGGTCACACTCGTCTCCAGCTACAGGGGATCTGAGTGGAACTAACCCATTCATGGAGCTGTTTTCTGTAACCTCATACATGTAAAGCACACAAAGTTAAAGGACTGCATAAGTCATGACCATTCTACACGAATAACAGGAACACTCAATAGTTTCATTCTAAATGTAAATAGAACCAGTAATAATCTTTGAGGCTATAATAACTCACAAAAGTACCATATTTTAATGTTTCTTTTAAAACCGTATTCTACGCTTACCTCGCAACCTGTGTCCATTCTTCATACAGACTGAAGGTCATCAAGGGCTCGGGCAGCTCCCGCAAGTAGGACTTCAAGGCACCTGCAACCACGCGTACGTCCTTTGAGTGAGGCGCGGCTGGGAACCTGCGGGTGTGTCGCTTTGCCACGCGACAGTATCTCAATCACACTCTTCTAGTTGCACTAAACAAATCAGACCCTGGCAGGAATGACAGGACAGCACCCTCACGGAAGCCACTCGGGCTCCCTTGCAAAAACACGCCGAGAGCTCACAGAAGATACGGTGAGCTCAAAGCCATCCTCTGAGCAGACCTCACTTCTGGTCGAGCTGAGTTGTGGGCATGAAAGGAGGGAAGAAGCATTTCTCCAAAGCATCTGCACCACACACTACCTTCATCTTTACTTGGCAAGGGAGGGTGGTGGGAGGCCAAAATCCAAACCAAATGAAAAGAACAGAAATCACCAGTTTATATGTATTGCATTAAACACTGGGGAATGTTATTAGAAAGAAACTCACTTCATCAATGAAACTTTTAAGCGAAACTGGACTTCAACCCACCCTGGCTGGGACAGCACAGGCCTATCTACCCACCGTGCCGAGCAGGGCTCAGCCTGCAGCAAGTCTGCGGGGCCTACCTGCCACAGCATGCGGGTCCGAATAGAACTCATCCAAGTGAGAAGTGGAGCAGTCCAAGGCGGCTTTCAGCTTCTTCAACCTGGAGGCACCAGCCCCAATCCGGAAAAGGCCCTAAAAACAGTGCAAATCCATTGCCGTCCAGCTCAGCCTGGGAGCCTCGCTCTCGTGCAGGCCCAGAACCCGGCAGGTCCTGAGCGCACCTGCGCCACACAGGGCTCACACTCGGCTTGGCGCTGCCAGGAAAGGGGCCAGGCTCAGATCCACCTGACTGGGACCTAGCAACCCACTTCTAATCTGTGCTAGCATCTGCCCTTGTCAGAATGTGACTATCCTACTATAGAAATGGTCCCTGAAAGTATAGCCTTAGAATGTGACTATCAAAAAGCATCTTCACTTCCACAAGGTTTCTACGATACTGAATACCATAGATTTTTTGAAATTTAGAAAAAAAATTAAAATATTGATATCTTAAGGAAAATTGTTAGAAGAGGATGCTTGTTACTTGCTTTAAATGCCCTAGGAAAAGAAGAGAAAGATAAAGGGTCAACCGAGACCCGCAGGCGTGGAAGCTGCTGGGCCAGGAGTTAGGCGACATCACTGCTGAGCGAGTCCACCTATGCCGGCTCTCCCAAGCTCAGGCAGGCTTCTCAACCTCAGGCACTAAGGCTGGGTGATTCCTAAGGGGGTGGGGGTGGGGCATGCTTTCACAGTGGGCTGTGTAACAGATCCTGGTCTGCGCAATGGTTAAGTGGCTGGCCACAGAGACCTCCGTCTGAGTCCAAAAAGCTCCTATTCACAGCCTCCGAGGGAAGGTAAGGCTGCACCTGCGGGAGGGGCTGACACTCCCACTTCCAGAACAATCGTCTGCCCAGCTTAGAGACCAAAAACAGTTTTCATCAGCAAGACTTACTGCTTGAGAAGCCTTCTTCTAACTTCTCAAGGCCCTGCTGACTTTCTTGAAGTGCCCTCTGCTTCCTGCGCTCCCCTGAACTGTTAAAGACCTAAGAAGCGTGGGTGACCCACAGATGCCTTCATCGTAACTCCAAGGGAGATCCAACCTTCCTGGACGCCCCACAAACCATATCTGCACTGCCATCCTTCAACCCTTTCTCAGTGCGCCCCTCTAAGAGCTGAGCCTGAGAGACTCCCGAAGCTGTCGCCCCTACTCCCCAGCCCCACTGTCCTACTGCCTTGAGATCTTGACGGCTGTCTCCTGAGGAGACCAGCCCCAGACGAGAGCCTCTGTGTACTCCTTAACCTGTGCGTGGACCTGACGGCAAGAAATCGTCCAGCTCTTCAATGACAACATGTATTACTTGCCTTGAAGTACATTACACTCCCATAAGCAATTTTTAACAGCAACAAAGGCTTGCAGTCTGACTCTGGCTCCACCCCAGTGCGAGCTCCCTGTGCGTAACTTCCTTACCTAGAGAAGAGGAAGAGCTGCCCTGCTTGATTAATAGGAATTTCTTTTTTTTCCTTTCTGGTAACAGGTTCACAAAATGAAGTATAAAAATGCAAACTCTTCTAAAATTTTGCATAGTACTATGCAAATGCATGACTCACGTTGCAGATGCTTACTACTAAAAACCAAAGCGCATGGAGTTCTGATTCAACAGCGCATCGTGAAATCCACTGCTATAAATCGAGCTTAAAAGAAGGCATCAGAGCACACTGGCACCTGCAGCGAGCACCGCCGTGCGAAGCCTCCTTCAGCACACACAGGAAGGCCCAAGGCACAGGCTCTCCTGAGGAAGTGCTGGTCGCGGTGGCAGAAGCCTGGGAACCACCAGGCCACACAGTGCGACAGGGCTGTGCGGCGCAGGCGGAGAAACCCCGCAGCCCTCACCTCCTCCTTCATGCCGGTCTCCAGGAGCAGCATGACGCAGGCCTCGATGGGAAGCGCGATCTCCCGCCCGCTGCGCTTCAGGTGCTCTTCCAAGGGTGTCCCGAAGGCTGGCTTCTCTGCCCACTTATCTACAGTGGCAAACTGGACAGTAAGGCACCCGGCAACGTCACGTACCACCCCCTTCCTCCCCAACTACCGAAGAGGATTCCCTCGCAGATTGATAGCTGAGGCTCTGGGCAAAGGGCAGACACCCGTGCCATTTGATCTGCCGTTCACTGAGGCACAGACTGAGCAGCAGGCAGGGGTGTTATGGGGGGACAGAAAGCAGGGGCACACCCTCCTGGCCACCCAAGCCAGCAGCCGGCGGAGGCAGCAGGAGTGCCCCACATCTGCAAAACTCGCTCTCACCAGCGTGAGGCCTGAAGTCCTGTTTAAAACACAAGATGCGTCTGAGCGCAGTGTTCACCTGGAAAGAGACTTGTTATTCCAGCCATGCAAAGCAGCCCTGACCACCTAGACAAGCGAGCGTCCTCAGAAGCGAGAGGGGAGGCGGTTCCTAAGCTCCTCACAAGCCGAGCCCTGTCCTATAAGACTGTGGGCGGCAAAGTAAACACACGTCAGAAGCAACACCTCTGTGATACGAGGCGCAACAGTGTCCTGTCCTCAAACAGGCCCCCAAACTTTGAGTACAGGAAAAAAGCCCCCGGAACAGCACAGCGTCTGCGGCTCCCAAGCAGCTGCTGCACAAGGCTGTGAGGGCAGCGGCGAGGTGGCACTGCAGCCATGCAGGTCGCTGCTTCGCCTCACGGGAGGTCTGAGCAGCGCTGAGCAGAGATGGACAATGCAGCTGTCCACAGGAGCGGGCACACTGACCGCACGCGCGAAGCCCAGGGCCGGCTGGGCCTGCCGTGGGACCGCACAGACTGAGTGCTACGCCGAAGCGTGCAGACGCCAGAGACACCCAACGGCCGGTGGAGACCCCTCCAGAGAAGCTCCCAGAACACAACACCGCCCTTCTCTGCACCACCAAGGGAAGCGAAGCAGGCGCCCGGCCCTCATGTGCCCCTCCTCAGGCTCTCTTCTCCTCGCCGCAGGAGGCCAGGGCCCTTCCGTCTACCGACATCACAATCCCCCAAGTCCACCACCTGAGAGCTCATGAGAAGTGAAAAGCTGACGGGAAGAGACTGAAGAAGGGGAAGGGAGGCAGCGGACAGAGCCAAAGGGCGCGCCTGCTCAGCCCTGGCCCACCCAGAGGGCAGCGCTGTGGCAGGCCCCTTGCAGGCCAGCCCTGCCCAGCATACTGCACCATCCCCTTTACCTGACACAGCGACTTGACCATGACATGAAAGGTCCCGCGAGCCTGCCTTGGGGACACATCGGGAGCACCCAGGAGGCTGCACCGATGCCTGCCACCCTACACCCGTCCTCGAATGAGCCCTGGGAGCTGACCGGACTCCAGTCCTCTGCTTCCTACAACACCGAGCAGAGCGCAGGCCAAGCACACAGGCGAGAAGCCCTGACCCAGAGGGACTCCTAGGGCAGACTCCACTTCGCATGCTGTCTTCTAAACCACTGGCCTACTGTGTGCCAGGCCTACTACGCGCAGCAGGCACCCCAATTCACAGGGAGCCTACTCCCAGGAGGAGTGCAACTGACTGGTGAAGGAACACAAGACATCCGTATTAACACAGAACAGTCACTGACAAGACAAGATGCATCACAGCAGATCAATGGTATGGACAAGGGCCACACACACAGGGTCAGAGAAGTGGCACAGGGAAGCCTAAGTCCCTTCTTTGGTCCACTTGGGAAGAACAACTGGTGTCAGCCATCTTCTGAACTCTTAAGAGAAGTCACAAATCAGGATTATTATATAAAAGCATATGATTCTGAAACAATGACATTTAAAAAAAAATAATGGCATATGGCTGTCTGCGACTTCTTGGGCAGACCCCTGATGCAAGAACAATTCAGGCTGTACAGCGCTCACTGCTGGGTCAGTCACAGAGAAGGCTTTTCAACGAGATGAGCTTGGAGAGGTCTCAGGAGACAGACAGCATTAACAGGCCGGGAAGCCGGCAAGCACATCTGGGAGCCACAGGCTGAGAAAAGAGCAGGAGTCGCGAGTCTAGAACCCATGCCACGCCACAGCTCTCGCAAGGGGCATGCATGGCAGAGAAGCGGTGGGGACAGAGGCGAGATGAAGCGCCGGGAGAAACGGAAGAACAGGGACGAGAGCCAAGAGGGCCCTGAGGTCTCAAAGTGGAAGAGGGACAAGAAGAACTCCAACAGCTGGCGTGGGGGTGTGCGGTTAAGGTCCTGGAGCGGAAGGTGTGGCTACACCAAGGGGACCTGAGGCTGAAATCGCAGGTGAGGAGCAAAAGTCAAAACAAGGGACTTCTAGGGAAGGGGGGGGGGGGGGGGAACCAGGAAGTAAGAACACAGGCGTGGACGCAGGCCTCAGAAGCAAGGCGGACTTCTGGAGCAGGCAGAGCCAGACAAGGGCAGAGTCCCAACAATGAAAGAATGCAATCAAGTGAAACGAGGGGAAGATGCTGAGGAGAGGAGATGACCTCGGCCACATCACATACCAGCTTCCGGCCCGAGGTCACTTGGTCCTCTGGGAACAGGAGTGGGCAATGGGTGGAATGGGCACGGGGACAGGACAGTAGAGCCGGGGGCAAGGTGGGAAGATGGCAGGGGCAGCAGGGAGAAAGGAGTCACCACACAGCCTCCGGGCAACAGCAAGGCGTGGAGATGAAGCACCCTGAGGAGCAGGGGAGGACAGCGGGTGGAGGCTGCCACAGTACAGAGGCAGGAAGACGGCGGGCTCAGGGAGGGGCGGCCTTAGCAATCAGACCACGACTTTCTCTCTCCTCTCCCGTCCTGAATGCTTCCCTGCCCGCAGGACTTACTGATAAATTTCTCTAGGGAAAACAGCCTTGAGAAAAACTGCCAGCAGCCCAGTCTTCCCTTGTCTACACTTATCAGTCCAGTTTTCCCTACCACACCTGAGGCCACTGAAGACTAAAATACTGAAGCCTACTATCGGGCCCACACAGGGCCCGGCCCACAGCGAGTTCCTGTCTTGATGCTCTGAACCTGTGGAGGCTGAACGTCTTCTACTGTGAGTCAACCCCGAGACATGAACCGGGGGCTGGAAAGAGCTCAGGGGTCTAAAGCGCCTGCTTAGGCAAGCTTAGGCAAGCATGCAGGGACCTCGGTTCAATGCCCAGCACCACATGCCACGCCAGCCCCACCCCCAGGGTGGGCTGAGCTGACCACAAAAAAATTAAATAAAAAAATAAACAAAAGTAACATTTTTGCCGATTAGTTCAGTTGCTTAAGTGCCTGCTCACACAAATGCAGTCAGGCGCAGGATACCTCGGTTCGATCCCCACCTCCACCTGCATTACCAGACGTGCCCTTAAGGCAGCCTGAGCCAGTCCAAAAAAAAAAAAAAATTAGACATGAACTAGGAAACGAGACAGTTTAAGAACAAGGGCAGCTTGTCCTGGGAAGAATGGGAGAAAAATGACACATTATACCCGACCCCGCTGAAGACCTGACTATGCAGTCAGGCGCAAGACTCTCATAATCCAAAAGCTTTCAGGCACCAAGCCAGAATCTTTCGACTCTCCCAAAATTTAGGGAGAAGCGTGGCACTCCCAAGGGTGTTCTGCTGAGCCACAGAACTCCGCCATCCACCCACCCTCTTGTACGACCACACCGTCACCACACCTGGCTCTGACTGACCCACATTCAACCCAAAGCCTACAGCTCTGCAGGGTTCCTAAGTTCCAAATGACAAAGCAGACTGTGAGCCACATGCAGCTGGCCCTGCGGAGGTGGGGTCTGCACCCAGAGTCAACCAACGGCCCTACAAAACCAAAAAAAATTCCCTATACTGAACATGTACAGATTCATTTTCTTGTCATTATTCCTAAACAACACAGTGTAACAAACTATTCATGTGGCACTTACGTTGTGCTATGTGTAAGTGTTCCAGAGAGGACTTAAGGGTATGAAAGAACGAGCACCGCGTATATGCAAATATGTGCAGGCTATCTGCAAGTACTACACATTATTTTACATACAGGACTTGAGCAGCCCAGGATTTTGGTAACCACAGGGGGTCCTAGAACCAAGAGATACTAAACAACAACTAAAGTACTACTAGATCCAAAGATAACAAGGCAATTTCTTCCTCAGTAACTTCTGCTAGTATGTGCTGGAAAGCACTGGTGACAAATCACAGAGAAGCAGAGTCAGGTTTTAAATGTCCCCCTTAAAACCAAACGTCAGGGGAAAGTTCAATCCACTCACAACCTGTGCATAAATGTGCCACACGCCTGAAGACAACAGGCAGAACATGGGTACTGGTGGGAGTGGGCTCCCGTTAAGGCTGGGAAGGGCTGCAAGTGGCCGTGGCCTAACGACTCAGTAGCAATTATTAAGTGGTGATGACATGGCATCAAGGACTGGCTTAGAAAATTCTGCTCCGCGAAGTCTAAAACACTTGCTCTGGGGTGGGTGCGCTCAGAGTCACAGGGCAAACTGCAGCCCTGTGGAACAAAGAACTGCTTCAGAAAAGGATATTAAATGCTAGAATTTTTCAAGCCCATAAAAGATGGAAAAACACATGCAATTCCCCAAGGGGCCAGTTCTCCCTTCCACCAAAGGCTTTGGCAGAGCTGCAAGTGTCCCGTTAGTGTGTTAATCTGGGCTTGGCGAAGTTAGAGAAGCAGCCAGGAAGAGGAGAGCGCGCGGGGGCCAAGCCCGTGGGCAGAGCCGTCCGAAGGGGATGCATGCGAGAGTCAGAGCGAAGAAGGGCAGAGGGCGGAGCGAGGGCGGCAGCGCCCGCACACGGTACATTACCTTGGTGGGCTCGCATTTCGGGAAGGGCCTTTTCTAAGACTGCTAATGCTTTCCTATGGTAATCTGCTTGGGCTTCTAATAACTGAGAACAGACCCACATTCAGAAACAAAAGTGGCGTTAGCATCAGATGGCACACAGGCTGCTGAGCCAAACAACAGGAACTCTTGACTCACGTCTACAATGTGTTAACACCCTGCAAGGGCAGGTGCTCACCGTGACAAAAAACTTGCCGTACTCCCCTTCTTTGGCCATGAAGTTGTACATGTCTGCCGCGAGCTGATCCTGGGAGGTGGGAGAGAAGGTGATTAAAAGGAGGCCACTGAAAAGACGCGACGGGAAAACGCATCTTCCTCGGCTGAAACTGACGCCAGCGGCTGAGGCAGGGCGGCCGAGCACCCGGAACGCCAGGCGCGTTGGCGCGCCCGAGAGCCAGCGCGGGGCCGGCTGAGGCAGGGGCCGCAAGGCAAACTGGGGATGTCACCTTTTTTCTCAAAATTAAAAATACATAAACTTTAGGTATAAATGCATGACTCTGGAAGTTGTTTTAATTTCTACATGATATATTATTTTATAGTTCATTCCGGTTAACAGATCAAAATTTTCTCTGAAAGAGGGAATTATAGCATGACCCGAGTACACTAAAATATAACATTCCTAACACCATTTGGTAGAATTAGCAGACATTTTTTTGGAAAATGAGTAACAGCAAAAAAGTCTAAGTCAATTGGCTTCAGTTTAACCAAAGACTATGTGTCTCCTACCTCCAATAACATTTAGAATATGTACCTATAGAGATGCATTAAAATTATACTATTTAACCATCTCATCTAAAATTTGAGATTAAAAAATTTTATTTCTTCCAAATTAAAAACCAATTTTCCTAGGAACATTGAACAGATAACCCTTTATAATGTTCTATATGATCAAAAAATTACTATACATTAAATGTAATCTTGTTGTAGAAAATTTGTTTTTTTTCTGATTTTCATTTGTACTGTGCATTATTTCAATTTTTATAACTTTATGATATGTTTTATTATGGGATTCTTTTCCCCTTCTCTTTACCTCTTTATTTCAAGTAAGCTTAACCAAGATTTTAAAATATCCCCCTTCAACCATTAATGTTTTTTCATTTTTTATGTTTATTCTAGATGTAGGAGTACATATAGAACTAATCTCTAAAAATACTTTTCTACTTTTATAAAAATGTTTTATTTTGGTTATGATATAATGTAGCACTGGAAGAGAACATAAAAACTGCTTTTTTTGTTACTACTTTTGTATGTATTTGATGCAGGCTCTCACTATGCAGCTTGGACTCATAGTGATCCTCTTGTCTCAGCCTCCGCAGTGCTGGGATTGCAGGCGTGCACTGCCACGCCTGGTCGTGGTGGCTGGCTCAGCGTGCCCAGGGGTTGGACCAGCACAGCATGTGGTGCCGGGGATCGAACTCTGGTCCATGCGCTTGCCTATGTAGACACTTAGTCTGCTGACCTATCTCACTGGCCCAAAACAGCTTTTTATACCACTGAGAATCTGACAGGAATTATATAAAGCTTAACTTGCAAAATTTTACCTGTCTAACATGCAAAACAAAACCCAGGCCAGTGCACGCCTCTCGCGGGAGCTCTCATACCTTGCACTGCTCCACTTTATTTCCAGCTTCATCCATCTCTTCCTTGAGGGTATCTATTTTTGATGGAAGCCCCTGGAAGTTGGTACCTGAAGACTTGTGGGCTTGGTTCCACCTGCAAAACAAAGGGGCCGCCATCTCTGAGGACTCTGGAGCCAAGGGCGCCAGAGCCGGCCCGTCAGGCTCCACCTGGGGAGAGCATCAGGGCCCAGGACAGCATCCTGTGTCCATTCTGTAGGACAAAGCTGGTAAACACAGACTTAGCTTCCCACCAAGACGGGCTCTCCAAGTGCTGGGCCCGCAGCCTACCTGCCAAAGGCCACACACATGTGGTCCCACACAAACCCCACTGCTGAACAGCAGTCCACGGGCTCCTCTCCTTCGGTGCCTGATGACAGGCTTTCTGCTCTTCTGTGCTGTTCCTATGTCTCAGGATAAGCTACTGCTCTCAGGGCCCCCTTATGAGGTGCCCCCCTACCATCTGTGACCTATGGCTATTTTTAGCCGGTAAAAGCCAAACTTCAAAAATATACCTATGAAAATATTAAGAAAATTATTATGGGGCTGGACAGATAGCTCAGCGGATTAAAGCACCTGTTCAGGCAGACACAGGGACCAGAGTTCAATCCCCAGGCGACTGAGACTGGGCATGGTGGCATGCACCTATAATCCCAGTGCTTGGGAAGCTAAAAACAGGGGCATCACTACGAGTCCAATCTGTGTAGTGAGACCCTGCAGACCCTGCACTAAATACATTTAAAAAAAAAAAAAAGTTAATTATTATAGTAGAGAGATAGGTGGGGAATACGCCGCCTCTCCTCCTGCTGTCTACGGATACATCTGGTGTTGCGGGACCCTCTACACTTGGCTCCAGGCACCACGAAGACGCAGCAGGTAGACACACCAGCACCTGATGGCACTGCTCAGCCTGCTACCCTCCCACCTCCCACCCCTGCTGTGTGCATCCCCCATGCGGTGTCACCTCAGCAGCCCGCCCGCCCAGGCAGCACGGCCACACTGTTGCCACTAACAACGGACTCCACAGCCTCGTGGGCTCCACTCTGCAGGGAGGCCCAATGTAACCAGCTAGGTGAAGGAGCTAATGACCACCTCTGCGTCCCCATGCCTTATCGGCCATGATGACCACAACGTGCCTGGCAGAAGTGGCAGAGACCGAACAGAGTACACTGTATGTGTATACAACGGAGTCTTTCTTTTGGTACTGGGAAACGAACCCCGGACCTGAGCTTGCCAGGCAGGCACTCAGGCAGCCGAGCTGTAGCTCCAGTCCTACAGCAGGTTCTGCCTAATGTTACGTCTTACTATTTTTGAACAGGAGAAGCCATAGGATTAAATCAAAATAGAGAGGAAAAAATTCTGCTTCAGTGTTTTCAATACCTACTTCGATTAATTAAGCAAGGAAGACCATAAACAAGGTTGAGAAATCAGTATCAAAATCTATTAGGAGCTTTCCTGGCAAGCGCAAGGGCCTGAGTGCAATCTCTGGTTCCGCCACAAAAAAAGAAAAAAACTTCTATTAGGGGTTACTGGTGCTCAACACATAAAATGCCTATAATATTGCTCGACCAAACCCAGTGGAGGAGTACGCACAGACTTGTTCAATTAATCCCAAGGCACTCTTGACTAGAAGGCGTTCCAGGGTGGCCCCACTTCCTGGCCTGGCTGGGCCACACAGGTGGTAACTGCATGTACATGCATGACAAGCAGACAGCACACACTGCTGCCAGAACCCCTGCTCTGCCACATGCGGCCTCTAAGGCACGAGGCCGGCCTTGCAGACAATACCTCAGGCCCTCCGCTATCTGTAAAACAAGTTTCTGCTCCAAAGCAAGGGCTAGGACAGTACCCCACCTCTGCCTCTGCAACTCTGCCATTAGTGTCTGGCACAAAACCCGACACAACTCCTGCCTGTGAAGAGAAAGACAAACAGGTGGACACGCACTGCTGGGAGAAGCGGATGAGGCACGGCGGCACAGACACCTGTGGCTGGCTCTCCACCCAGAGTGTCCACCAAGTGGCGCTCTTGCCCAGGAACTGCCCTGGCCGCTCTCACCTGCGTGAGTGCGCAGAGGGGCGCTGAACTGCCACGGTTCTCACGCCAGGGCAGGTCTCAGCAACTGACTTACACGGCTAAGGTCTCCAGCTTTACCTCTCAAATACTCTGACACTGAGTTAGTGACACATCTCATACCTGACAGCATCTGAGAAACAAGGTCACGCAGCGCTGTTACTGCCGCTCTCCGCTCTGTGCCCGAAGCCCCAACACTGACTATCCCTAGCAGCGGCACCGCATGAGCCACACAGCAGGCACCACATCTCCTTCACAAGAGCTGCGATAAGCAGAGCTGACCTCGCGAAGCAGAGGTCAGCAACACTACCTGCTGCTGTACCAGAGTGCAGACCCGCTACTCACTTCTGCACTGTGCACCGCGCTTTTTACTCCCTCCCTCCCCATCTGCCCTCCTCCCTCCACTCCTGCTCTCCCCACCCTGGGCCTCGTGCATGTAAGTGTGCAGTCCACCCTGAGCCACAGCCTCAGCCCCTAGGGCTGCTTTTATTCTATGACATTCTATTCAGTGGTTGCAATAGGGGCATCAGGGTTGCAGTCAAAAATCTTTACCGTCTGGCCCTTTACCAGAATCTGCCAACCTGGACTGAGGATGAGAGAGGCCCAAACGCAGGCGCTCGTTCCTCTCCTGTCATCTTCACAGACCCAAGACAGCATCCGCATCACTGTCTCAGACTCCTTGGAGGACAGAGCAGGTGGCGAGCTGGGTGGCAGTCCTGCCCCAGATCACTCTGGCTCTACCGCAGACAAGAAATCCGCAGTCTGCAGCAGGCAGACCATGGACTAGAGACGCACAGGCCCTGCTCCAGTGGGCACAGCACCTGGCTGGGAAGGTGTTACAGGGGCACAGGGGAGAGGCGGGAGGCGCCCTCGCACAGTCGGGATCACGGCGCTGCTGCTCCCTGTGCTCTGCCAGCCCAGGCCTGTGCCCCTCGCACCGGTGGGCCCATCCTCTCTCCCATCGAGCATGTTCACTCAGTTCTTTTTCCTTCCTGTTTCCTTTCACTACAGGCTCACTAAGGAGGAATATTCTAACATTCCCACGGCCGGCCGCGCTGGAGAGCGCGAGGCCTGAAGGCGGGTGGGCAGGCTGTGACCCACAGGCAGAACAGAAGCATGATCTGAACCACATCCCTGGCCCTCGGCCATCTCTGGCTGTGCTGGGCCAGCGGTAGGTGCCGCGGCAGGACACAGCAGCGTGCGCCTGCTACCCAAGCACTGCGCCTTACCTCGCTCGGACCGAATCCCAGTCCAGCACCAGCTTGGCCAGCTGCTTCCGCTGCTTCTGGATGTTCGGAATCTCCACCTAGGGAGGAGCACACCAAGGGAGGCGCTCTGGGGCTTTAGGGTAACACTTCACAGTAAAATATTTGTTTGTAAATTTTTTTCTCTTGGGGGAAAACAATCTTAACATCAAGCTCTCCCCTTTATTTCCAAAAACAAACACACATTAAGGCACTGATAGTTAAATTTGGGCCCAAACAGCCCGCCTGCTGCGGGCTGGCCAGGCACCCACCTCCGCTATGCCGTAGAGAGGGTCCACGACCTCCTTCTCCACGAGGACCTCGTGCTGTGAGAGCTCCTGCGCCAGCTGGCTCTCGGCCTCCCCGCATGTCTCCAGCATCTTCCTTTAACGACAAGACCCCCATCAAGTGGCCGGATAAACGGGCCCTGGCTTGCTGCGCGGCTGCAACTCCACCAAGACAGGGCACAGCACAGCGTTACCAGCAAAGCCTTCCAGCTAGCGCACAATACGCACAGTCATCACCTTAAAGTTGAATCAAGAGGCCTGTGCTTTAAAATGAAGATGACAGGCTGGCCAAAGAGCTCAGCAGATTAAAGTGCCTATAAGCAGGCACAGGGGCCAGGGCTTCGATCCCCAGGCCTGCTGTGCCAGCCCTGCCCCTGGCGTGCGCTGAGATAGCAACTGAGACTGGGCGTGGTGGTGCGTGCCTGTAATCCCAGCTCTTGGGAGGCTGTAAACAGGATCACTGAGTCCCATCTAGTAGTGAGATCCTGCACACCCTGGAGACCCTTCCCTAAAATAAAAAAAATAAAATAAAACAAAGATAACTCTTCTAGACATGGACTTTTTTTTATTTTTTATTTTTTTTGCGGAACCGGGAATTGAACTCAGATCCTTGCATTTGCCAGTCAAGCACTTATCCTACTGAGCCATCTCCCCAGCCCCAAGATATGGACTTTAGAAAGGGAAGTGAATGGTGAGGTGAGGCTGCAACTTAGAAATTACGTTCCCATGTCAGGTGAAATACCCTGAAAATCTTAAAGAACACATGAAGTCCTCGGCATGTTCCTTTAGGACTGCTGGCGAGTCAGCCTCGGGGGTACTCGTGCCCGCACTGTGCAGAGGAGGTGCCTGCCGGCACAGAGCAGCACACCTCCTTTGGTTTCCGGGACCACAGTGGTGTCGACCAAGCGCCGTGCGATGCGCTTCCACTGCCCCCACCCCTCCCATGCTCCAGGGTCCAGGAAGTTCACGGCACGAGGAACTGTGGCACGGCGAGGTGGCCACAGGGGAGCTGCCTGAGTTTGAACTCAGGCTGTGCTGTTTTACAGCTGTGCGGCTGTGGACAATTTTTTACCCAGTCTGGCTGAGCTAGAAGATGAACTTTTGTGGCGTTTTTTGTTTTGTTTTTTTTTTTTTGCAGCGCCAGGGACTGAATCCAGCACCCTGCGCTCGCCAGGCAAGCACTCAGTCTACTGAGCTAGCTCCCTGGCCCCACGGAAGCATTAATACTGCCTTCCTCCAAGGCAGCTTTGAGAGCAGAGAGAGTGGTGACCGGAAGGCAGAGCCCAGGGCTGGCCGTGGCACCAGTGCGGAAGGGCGACCCTGGCACCAGCTTAAGGAAGCACGAGTGCGGAGCGCAGCGTAGGCGCGCGGCCTCCTCCCAGGGCAGGCCCGCAGGCGTGGGCGCAGAAAGGACAAGGACGGGCGCAGCGGGAGGACAGCATTCCCTTGAGGAACAATGGGACACTGTGGCTCCTGGGAAGTGGGCTGCCGAGGCCCAGTCACACCCAGGGGAAGTAGGCCACGGGACAGCAGGCAGAGCAGGCCGACTGGAGGCCACCAGGCGCAAGGCATACGCAGGCAGGCGGGAGGGACACCTTCCCGCACACAAGGGAAGTGCTTTCCCTTCAGACTTGTTTATTACTAAACAAGGCATGCCGATTGTTTTCATTTTTGTTTTGAGGCAAAGTCTTCCTATGTATTCCAGGCTGGCCTTGAATTCACTGAGCCCTGGCTGGCCTCAAACTCACAGTGATCCTCCTGCCTCGGCCTCGCAAGTGCTGAGCTTATGGGTGTGCACCACCATACTTGGCTTAATTTGTCTACTGTGAAAAAGAAAAACTCCACAGCAGAGTGCACTGGAGGACAGAGAGGGGACAGTGCCAAGGCTCAGGCCACCACTGACTAAGGGGAAGGACTCCTGCCGTCCCACAGCCCAGCAGGACAGCAGGTATGTGTTTCAGGGTTTTGGATGCTCCCAGCACGCTGGTTAATGAAACATCTGGGGTGGAGGGTATGCCCATGACCCTGCCACAATGCACACTGCGCATGCTCTGAATCACTGTACCCCAAAAGCAGATACACGTGTTGATTAACATACAGCTTAACAAACAAAGCAGAATTAAAATTTTTAAGTCAAAACAAAACAACAAATAATTCAGAAAACAATCTTTTGAGACACCACCACTGACTGGGATGGTGACCCCTAAGCGCCCTGCAGGCATGTCGGGGCACAGATCTGCGCCCCACCAAGGCGGCGCCCTATCCAAGCTGGGGACCTCCAGGACACGACCGCTACTTTCAGGGGTAGCCCTCTCTGCCTCTTACCAGCCAGGCTCCCACTGGAGCAAAGACCCCAGAGGAGCAGTGGCTGCGCCCTGCTCCATTCCACAAGGCCTAGCGTCTACACGGATGAGCCGTGATTGAGGCCCCGCCTGCACCCCAGGACCCTCTGCAGGGCCCACTTACCCCAGAAGAGACTCTTCCAGCTGAGAGGAGGCTTCCTGCATGTTCTGAGCAAGTGCGGTCAGGGGCAGTTTTTTCTGGAAGGGAAAGAGACACGGGGTTTGGTTTCCTGTTCTCCCTAACTGCCAGCCGCGTCTCCCTGGTCTTCTCATCACCACCCACTGACTCCGCCCTCCTCCCCTGGCAAACTGCACAGAAGAGCGCTGGTCTGGCTCCGCTTCTGATCTCCCAAGAGCTGGCTATGCGACTCCACCTCTGGTTCAGCTGTGGGGCTGTAGCCTGAATGAGACATTTAGGATCAAGTGCCCAGCGCACAGTATGTACTTGGGAAACACAAACTGCTGTTTCCACTGCTCCTGCTACTAATTAACCAAGCACATAAGGTTCACACATTACTTATCTGAAGGGCCTGAGACAGAAGCATTGCAGATTTGGAGTTTTTTGGACTTGGGATATCTGTACAGACTCTGCTGGCTGGAGATCCCTTAAAACTTGAAGTCGTAAGTGTCCAAACCTGACTGCTTTTGGGTCATCCTGCTGGCACGCAGAGAATTCAGATTACAGGCACTTGCGACTGCAGGTTCTGAGATTGGGACGCTGCACCTGGGCTGTTGCCGGCACAGGTCTGGCTAAGCGACTATCGCAGACAAGGGCAGCAACGCCCTCAATCTCAACTGCGACTTGTAGACACTCTCTTAGAGCGAGACAGGCATTACTGTGTAGCCAGGCTGGACTCAGGTGACGCTGAGCTCACGGTGAGTCCCCTGCCACAGTCTCCTGAGTGCTGGCTGAGATGACAGGCAGGTTCCACCATACCTAGTTTCTAGCACACTCTTAAATTGGGCATAAAATTTAGCTTTAAATATCTAGTTAAATATCAAAAAAAGTTTTTCCGATGTTGTTAAGTATAAACCAAATCATTTTCCTGTCTGAGAGCTACCTTTTAGCCAGCAATCACCACAGGATCATTTGGTCTTTATAGTCAAGAACTCAAAAGCCAACAAAGTGCCGAGTCCCCGAGAGGGGCAGGAGAGCAGGACCTCAGTCCTCCTCAGGACCTGCGCCCCACCTGGGAACTCTGAGCAGAGGTGATCTGAGAAAGTCACGAGCGGGCTATCCACACACCGTGGCCCGCTAGCCAGCAACGCCTTCAGTCCTGCAACCCCAGCACAAGGGGCACCCAAATACGTGGTCTAGCCTTGCGCGCAGCACGCCGGGAGCTCTGCTGGACACACCTGTGCCTGGACGGCCCCATACCACAGACAGTCTCTCCACGAGGGTGGACTAGAGGCTGCCAATGCTGGCAGCTCCCAATGAGGACGCCAGGTGCTGGGGAACAGGGCTGGGGGAGATTGTTTTATCTTCCATACGAAGATGAGTTACATATGATTATGTAATTATAAAACCAACTCAATAAATTAAAAATTTAAAAAACCCACCTGCCCACTCTCAGAGGTATTTTTAAATGAACAACATGCTCCTTCTCGCCTACGAAGAGGCCACTCCTGGCTGCCACACTTTTAGACAGGAAGGTATGAGAGCAGAGGATAATTCCTATGTTTCAATTACAGCAGTATCCTGGCTCACAAATTTAATTCTTCCATGAGTCTGGCTGCAACCAAACTGCAAGTACAGCATATACATGTTTGCGTCTGGTGTGAAGCAGAGTCGTGGACCACAGCCACGGTCATGAACCACGCTACCACTGTGTTTGCAGTCTGGTGTGAACCAGAGTCATGGACTACAGCCACAGTCATGAATCACATTACCACCATGTACCGACTTTCAAAAGGAAGTCAAGCACAAGCAAGCGCAGTTAGCAAGAGAAACCCACCGTGAGTGACCCTGGATGGAGCCCATGGGCCTGGGGAATGAAATCACAGCCTGTGTGACGGGTGGCATCCTGGATCCCAGATGCAGATGGCCCTCCGGTCTCCGTGTCCTGAGCCCAAAGCCAGTCCTCCCCTTGGGACCTACACAGGGGATGCTGCCAAGCACACAAGCTCACGAATGATGCCGCTGCGTGCACCAGCAGCAAGCTCCTCCGGAGGGCTCCCTGCGCCCTGGAGCGAATGGCTTGCTCAGGGATGAACTTCAGCGGCCTTGACTGGTAACATCCATGCCAGCCACACGAAAGAAAGTAAATCCTAGCTCCCACAGGGTGCACAGCTCTGCCACACAGCAGAGACACAGCTGAGGAGGCCGCCAGCTCTGCTGCTCTGCCCCAGAGCAGGAGCTTCTGGGGCACCTGCCCAAGGGCTCTGCCATCACCCCCGAGTATTGGAGACTGCCGCGACCTTCTCCTTACTACGTGATCCCCTGGGGCTACCCATCTTCTTCCTGCTCCTCAGAGCCCTCCGTGTCTTTGGCACTTTGGACTGATGTTGGAAAGGAAAAGGCAGGCGTGGTTTAAAGCCAAGGACCAAGCCGCCCGTACTCCTATGTGAAACAGTCCCATCACAGCCACTGACTTCCCACGTGCAGCCTCCATCTCCTTCAGGCAGCCCCCCGACCACCTCCCTGCCCCCGGAATCTGCTCTGGCTCTTTCATAACATCCTGTGTGTATTTTACTTACTGGCTGTTTTACTCTCCACTTGCCCGTATCTTCCTCACCAACGATTATCACTTACATTTTACTCATTTTTGTCTCTAGCACTCATACACAACATAGGTGCTTGACAAACTATTCTTAATGAGTATAAGGGACAGTGGGATAGTATCTCAAAGCAGAGGACAGCCAGTCGACAGGGCACACCTGTGTGAGTCGGACAGTGACACGTAAAGGCCCTGGCTGTGGAGGAGGCTGGACGACTGCTGGATGAGAGGGCAGAAGCACAGAAAGCTGGTAAGGCATGACTGCATCAGATTACAAAGGGAAAGTCATGCAGAAAGCCTGGGACTTCACCCAGGCAGTGGGAACCAGCTTGTGACACGCAAAGGAAGTGCCAGGCCACTTGGGGGCTTTCCCCTGTGTGGACCTAATCCAGCAAGTGCTACAGAACGCTAGCACCTGGGTTCCCAGCTCTCAAACGCCAGCAGCACCTCCATTCCTAAGAGCAGTCCAAACCATCTCATAGTTTCCAAATCGCCCCAGGATGCAACTCTGGTCCCTGTTACAAAGCACTAACCATGGTGTTTCTATGTTGTTTGAGGGTTCTGTCTTGTTTTGCTGTTTTAGGCAGGAGGATGACAGGACTGATTTGTATTTCAGGGTATTTGTATACCCGAACTGACTCGGGTAATTAGATGGGAAAGGAGGGGAACTGGAGGCTTGGGACATGACTACACCAGTCCACGTACGAGGTCATCCAGCCTTGCATCATGGCAAATGTGGCAGAGACAGAACAGGGATGACAAATTTAAAAGATATTTACAGAGAGGCTCACAGGACTTGCTAGTCAGACAGCTGTGGGAAGGTGGAGAATAAAATAAAAAACACCACGAGATAACCCCATAGCTTCTCGTTTGCGTCACGGGAGAGTGAACTCAAGCACGTCAACACAAGCAGGACTATTCATACATGGGGAGATGGGCTTCAGAGGCAGGAACACTTCTGGGGGACAGAAGATGGTTTCAAAGTCACTGGTGTAAGCGTATTAGTCAGGAGCCAGAGAGGGGCAGAGGGCGCTTGGAGAACATGGAGAAGTTCCTTAGGGGACAGCAGCAAGCAGGGACACGGAAGGCGAGGGGTGCAGCTCAGGGGTAGGCACCAGCCTAGCATGCATGAGCCCCTCGGTTCTATACCTAGCTCCCCTTCCCAAAGAAGCAAGCGGAGCAGAAGCCAAGGCAAGACAGTGAGAAAGAAGGGAAGGGTGGGGGCTGAGCCAGGCGCTGGCGCTGGCGCACAGGGGCTGAGTCAGCAGCGAGTATTCCTGGGGCCGCAGGCGCACGCCCACTCAGGACGTAAACAGCGGCAGAGCCCCACACACTGCGCAAGAAGGGATGGGCCTGTGGTCGGGGTACCCTACAAACGTTCATAGGAAATACGAAAGGGTAACATGGATATCTGCACGTTGCTTTTGGCTTTTGAGAACTCTGGTAGCAAGCAAAACACGGCGACCTCCAGGCTCCTGCTGTGCCACTGAAACCGTCACTTGAACGTGATGGGTCCAAGGGAGGGCACGTACCATGAGCCAGGCGCTCGCAAGGGCAAGGCACAGCTGCCGCGAGCAGCGCCCCCTGCGGCCCGGGCACAAGCACACAGCAGCAGACTGGGACGGGTCCCGAGTCCCCCTGCCCTGCGGAACAGCACTCATGCTCCTCAGGGGCCCGCCCACTCGAGAAAGCCTGGGAGCTGACACAGGCTCGCCTGAGGGCTGGGCCCGCGGGGGTAACCACTGACGGAGTGGGAGCACTCCTGCGCGGGATCCGAGTCTCGGCATGGATGGGCGCCACAGAAAGGGAGTTCCACCCGCTGAGAAGCATTCTCACTCCAGTAAGAGCAACACCAGAAAAGAGGCTCTGCCTGCTGGACACAACAGGACGCGAGGCTCACAGGCCCGATGGTGGCCACACTGCCACTGGGCACAGGCGCCCGTCTGTGGGCAGAGCAGACCCTGAGAAAGGCACGGGAGAAAAGGGATGCGACCACGGTGGTGCTTTCCCTCAGGTCCCCGCCAATCTCCCAACTTGTCAGTGCCAAGTCAGTAAGCTACTTCTTCCGACGCTGGTTCAGAACAGGTTTCCAGACTTGTGCCGAAGGATTCCTAACACATGCATTCTCTGATCAACGACACACTGTTCACCAGGTCCTTACAGGCACCTGGAAAAGACTCGGGGAGCAGGCCTTCAGCCTGCTTCAACGGCTCACGCGGGGAAGAGCACCGTGGCGAGGAGCTGTCTGCCATGCCCATACCAGGTACTAATCTGAAGTCCGTGTCGTGAACGCCGCTTGGGGAAAGCCTCCCAACCAAGAGGGTGAACGGCCTCAGAGCACATGGAGGGCCCGCTTGCATCGGTACTCACGTGTCGCCTCTCGGCATCAGTGCCGTGCTGGCCCTGGAAGCACGCAACCAGACGCTTGTGGGAGTGGTGGCACATGGACCGCACAGCATCCAGGCGCCTCTCAATCTGTGAGGGTCAAAACAGAAGAGCCATTTGCGGGCTGACAGGCCAAATGGAGCCTTCTGCAAGTGCTGCTACCGCGCAGGTGTGAAGACTGCCCGTCTCACTTTCCAGCTCTTGGACACAGCAGGAAATGGCTCCCCCCACTACAGCAGGGATCACTGCTGTTCTCATTACTGACATTCCGGGTTGGGCAATGGGGTGGGAGGGGTGTCCTGTCACTGGGGAACGCGTACATCACTGGCCTCTACCCACAGACCCCAGCAGCACCCCATCATCCAAGCTGGGACAATCGAAGTAACTCTGGGCACCGTCCCGGGTCTCCAAGAAGGCACTGCGGCCTCCCTTACGTTGAGGATTTAGCTCTAATTCCCTTGCAAGCCAGATCTACGTGAAGGGAAAGGCACGGTCTAACCTTACATCAGACCGAATGGCACCAATCAGTTCACCTGACGCATGCCAGCAAAGCCCTGGTCCACCGGCGTGGAGCCACGGAGGAGTGGTCCTGGCCCGATGTACTGCCAGCTGGGAAAAGCGGACACCAGAAGCTCCGCCTCACCCAGCGGGGCAGCGGGTAAGCAGCACACCAGAGCAAAGAATCGAAGCAGAGTGCCACAACTTCAGCTAAGACCCATGTTTTTAAACTCGGTGTATTAGGTTTTCACTACTAACATTCCTCCAAAGCAGAATGGCAGCTGGAGCAGAGAACCGCTGGCGAGGAACGCACAGGGCATGAGCGGCTTCCCAGAATGCGACTGCTGGGCGATGGCTGCTTACGGCAAAGAGAGCGGCTTGTTAGAGGAAGGAACGCCGAAGCTGCCCTGACAGCTCGTGAGCATTGAGGCCAGGCTCTGGGGACGCCTTCCATTTAGGGAAAAGTCAGCAAACGCAAAGCAGAATACATCTTGACCCCCAAACAGCTTGCCCCAAGAGTCACTCTGTGACTCCAGCTTTCCTTCAGAGCTGAACCGCCTCCAGGCCTCTGATGCAGCAAACAGATGTGTGACTGTAAGCAGGAGCCACACCACCGTCCCCACATCTTATTAATGGCCAGATGTTTAAGCTTCAGGAAACCAAGACCCACTCTTCTTTTGCCACAAGAAGGAAACAACAAAGCAAAATCCCTTGCTTCTGATTTCAATTTCCACTACAATGGAAACGCCACACGGCCGGGAGCCTGTTTCCCCGTGGTGCCTCCGCGCAGGGGCTCCATTCTTTCTGCAGTTCTGGTCACAAACCGACCTGGACAAGAACCAAACCAAATTTTCTCATATAGTTAACAATGAACCTAACTACCAAATCCGATTCGGGTCATCCAACTCAGCTGGCAGCCAGCACGAGGGGCGTACCATTTGTATGCACTGTCTACCCCGTGCCTGGCTCCCTATCCACCACGGGGTCAACAGACACTGGCTGGTTGTCAGTACACAGCATACAAATCTTTTGAGCCTACACGGGGCATCAGAAAAACTATTACATTTGGTTCCCACCACGTGGTGCTCAACGGCCACTGGGACAACTCCACACAACCAAATCAGAAGGCAGCCCGTGGAATCACACTAATGGAGAGCTAAGAAAGAGGTGAACAAAGTGCAAATCAAGAACTGTACCTCAGAAACACATGAGCAGTGCAGCCTGTGGCGCTGGCAGGAGGTCCGCCACGCTCTACTCTGCCTGCCCTGAGAGTGCTCCCCAGGTTGACCTCCTTTGTCCTCCTAACACACCAACAGTGAGGAGCGGAGGAAACGGACGAGTGGAGGAGTACAGCCCCGAGGCCACAGAGCCCATCCCAGGGCCACGTGGGGCTCAAGCTCCGCAAGCTGGCTCTGCAGTGGCACCTGTCGCCCTTTGTAGGCAGACATAGCAGAAACAGCAGAGGAGCCACAGACGCGGCAGTTAGGGCAGACACGGGCCGAGAACCTTCAATGGATGAGCAGGAGCTCCAGGCACCGACAGGTTCCGGGACGGCTGTGCCCTGTGTCCATGAGGACCATGTCGCCCTCCAGCTGCCTCCAGGGTCCGCAGGCTGTAGCTGAGGGCTCTGATGATTAGTGGGGCAACGCACGCTACCGACGTGGGATGTGCACTGAGCCCCGTCTCACAGAGCCAACCCAAGCAGACAAACTAAAACCCACCCTATTATTTAATTTAAAAAAACCTCTCAGTTCTCAAAAAATAAATCTTTAAAAATAAACAACAAGAAAAATAAGAAATACTCAGCAATTGGAACAGAGCTGGGTATGGTGGCACATGCCTGGAATTCCAGCACGCTGGGGGACTGGGGCAGGAGGAGCATAAGTTCGAGTCCAGCCTAGGCTACAAGGAGACCCTATCTCAAAATAAAAAATAAAAATGGTGTGCAGGTAGGCTCAGTGTGAGGCCCTGGGCTCACGTCCCAGCACCTCAGAAACAGACAGACAGGGCTGTGGCTATCGCTCAGTGGTAGAACACAGGCTTAGCATATGAAAGACCTTGGGTTCAAACACCATAGCAAAAACTAAGCAAAAAATCAGTACCAAAAAAATGCCAAAAACTAAACAAAATCACTGGCCCTCCATTCCTGTGGACTCCGTATCCACAGACTTAGCCAACTGCGGATCAAAAACCCGCAAGGAATAAAATGTAGCTTCCTGAACAATACAGCAGCGCCCTTACCTTGCAGTAAGTGCAAGGACCCTAAAGATGGCTTTGTGCTACGCAGGAGACGCCCAGCTCAGACCCAAGCACCAGCCCATTTCATGCAACAGGTAAGTACCACGAACTGGGATGGAGGTGGGCTTCCTAGACTATGCTGCCCACGGACAGTGAGGACAAAGGCTACATACAGACGACTGTCACAGCTCAGAGGATGTTCTGAGATGATGCAGCAGAAGCAGCACTTTTCTAAATTGTGCCCATAACTTTCTGGTGTAGAAAGGGACCGAGAACCATCCAGTAGCAGGCCTCTGGTCCTCGGGCATTCACCCAAGCAGGGCTGCCTTAATTTACAAAGATGAAATCAAGCAGACTGGTCAGGATGCTTGCTGTCTCTCCCCTAGGTATTCTGCTGCGGGTGGGATAAAGAGCCTAGTATCTTCTAGAAGAATCTTTGAGCACCAAAGCTAGGAAAATCTGTTGGCAGTGGCCCTGGCCACTGGCAGGGAAGGAAGGGAAGACCTCTGGGCTGGTGACCTGAGGCACCCTCGGGTCAGATCTGGCTGCTGTCATGAAAGCCTAAGTCGGTGTTTACGGCACCTGTGCCACGACGGGCTGTCTGCACCATGGAGAGCTCTAAAAGGTTCGCCATCATCAGCCTACGTCCTCAGGACCAGCTGGCCCACTGGGTAGCTGCAGCATGCAAAGGACTGAAGTCACCGCCTCAGGATGGGGCTTTAGCTGGCAGGACCCGGCCCACCAAGGGCACCACGGCTGCAGGGGCAGGCTCCTCCTAGCCAGGACATGTGACAGCCATGTGCCAGTGCATGGACCAGCCCCTCCCCACCCAACACCTGGCTCTTGAAAGCAGGGGTGGGCCCATCTGGACCTTGTAACACGGCAGTGGGGCTTCAGACCTCCATTCTGTCCCCACACCACGCCTCTTCCCTGCTCAAGCTGGCATAGGGTTCCACTCCAGCTCAACACTCTCTGTTCCCCACCTCACTTTCCAGGGGTGCCTGTTTGTATGTATGTACTGGAACCCTGGGCCTTGTGTATACCAACACATGTTCTACCACTGAGCTACATCCATAGCCCCCTGCATTCTTTTTACTTTATATCTTTCAGCAAATCATTTTAAGAAGACTTTATTTTGTTACCTGTAGCAGATCTTCACTGAGGACTTCAGTTTTCTCAGCTCTGTAGGGAGAAAATAAAAAGTTCAGAATCAGAAATCCAGGGATGAAAACTTGCTCACGAAAGTTAAGATTTCGGGGCCAGGGAGATGGCTCAGTAGAATAAGCACTTCCCTGGCAAGCGCAAGGCCTGAGTTCAATCCCCAGTTCCACCAAAAAAAAAGAAAAAGAAAAGAAAGTTAAGATTTCTTAGCCTGGACTTTATTTATTTATTTATTTATTTATTTATTTATTTATTTTCTTTTTGGGGCAGAACCGGGGATTGAACTCAGGCCCTTGCGCTTGCCAAGGAAGCACTTATTCTACTGAGCCATCTCCCCAGCCAACTTTATTTAATTTAATTTAGTTATTTATTTTGAGAATGTTTAATACTTTTTTAAAAAAATTTGTACATTCAATTTACTTCACTAAAAATTATGATCTGAGGTGCAGTACCAGGGATTGAACTTAGGACCCTGCATGAGCTATCTCTCCATTAGCCTGGACTTTAAAACAGGGTGGGCAGAAATGAGCTATGGGTTCAGGGGTTTCACCATTTACATCAGAGGGCAACTTGAGCAAAACCACAGAAAAACAAAAATTTACAGGGAATATTACCCAGTATAGGAGCACAGGACCAGGGGCAGTGGCTCTCAACTCTGCATGGGCACAGGGACAAAGGCACTCCCAGGGGACCCATGAGAATTCTATTCAGAGGGTCCTATTCTCTCTCTCTCTCTCTCTCTCTCTCTCTCTCTCTCTCTCTCTCTCTCTCTCTGGCAGAACCGGGGATTGAATTCAGGACCTTGAGCTTGCCAGGCAAGCATTTATTCTACTGAGCTATCTCCTCAGTCCTCAGAGGGTTCTATTCTAATTCAATAGATTTGCTCAGAATTCCCTTGCAAGAGTGTCACAGAACAGTCGTAAGAAAAGAGTCCTCTGAAAGCTTAACTTTCAGTTCTTAAAAGAGAATCACTTCCACCTTTCACAGCCTTCTTAAAACACATCTGTCATAAATTTAGAAAGATGATGCAAAGACAAAAGTCTAGAGTATTGTGCACAATAACAAAACAATTGAGTACTCCCTTTCAGGTTTCTCCCTATCTTTAGCTTTAAAAAAAAGTGTTTTTACAACTTTCCCTTTGCTATGTTTTACATCACTACTACCAACCTTTTCAGAAAATCATGATGGTAACTAGAAACTAGAAGATTATTCTGTTTTTTTTTTTTTTCTCTTTTCCTTCTTTCTCTTCCTGTACCCTCCTTCTTTTTTATTCAGTAACCGGGGCTCAAATCCAGGGTCTTCACACTACACTGCATCTCAAGACCTCATTCATTCATTCATTCACTCACTCACTCACTCACTCATTTATTCTTCGACCTTGAGGCAGGGTTTTGCTACACTGTCCTGGGTAGGCTTGAACTTGTGATCTTCCAGCGGCCTCCCAGGATGCTGGCATTACAGGTGATACAAACCTAACTAAGAGAAGAGCATTTTGAACCACTGCATCTCAGCTGTCAGACTACAGTAAATTTTTGAGACTACTATAACTTGGAACTGGAATGTTTCTCAAGGTTCCATATGGTAAAAGCTTGGTTGTCAGGGCCAGTGAGATAGCTCAGCAGACTAAGCACCTGCTCAGGCAGGCGCAGGGACGAGGGTTTGATCTCCAGTACCACATGCCATGCAGCCCCACCCCTGGGAGCGCTGAGCCGGCCACCAAGACCAGGCGTGGTAGTGCTTGCCTGTAATTCCAGCACTGGGGAGGCTGAAAACAGGAGGATCACTGAGAATTCAAGCTGTGTAGTGAGACCCTGTACCAAATACATAAAATGGGGGGGGGAGGCTTGGTTGTCATCCTGTGGCATTAATGGGAGGTGGAGGATACTTCAGGAAGCAGGGCCTCACTGTTGAGGAAGACAAGTCCAGGGCATGCTGGTAAAGCACGTGGAACCCCAGTACTCTTCTCTCGGCCTGTCCGTCTGCCTCTGTGCCTCCCTCTATTTCCAGTGCTGGGAGGCTGACAGGCCTCTCTGTGACACACATACCCACCACGGTGCGCTGTACCACCGGGGCCAAAAGGCCATGACGGGCACCCCTAAAGCCAAGAGCCCAGTAGGCCTTTCCTCCTCCTAAGCTGCTTGTCTCAGGTACAGCTTCACGGGGGCAGGAAGCTAACCAACACAAAGACGTCTCTGTGGTTCGGAAGAGCTGTGTCACTGCCACGTGTAAGATCCCAATCACTACGGCCAGGCGCCGACCTGGACCTCTGGTCCCCAGTGAGTGAAGCCATGTTTTCTGACATCCCTGTCAAATTCCCACTGAAATTATTAAGGGGAAATAAGCTGAAGTTCTGGGGGAGGGAGTTGGGGAGTAGGGGCCCAGAAATGAACCAGAAGATCTGATCTTTTTATGAGCTATACAGTGGAATCCAGGTCTGCAAGACCTAGGACATAAAGCAACAGAAGAGAAGGAACAGCCCTGGCCAACAGGTGAATGAGACCCGCCAGAATGACCTCAAGACACACAGCTCAGAGTGGCGCTGACCCCTTAGCGTGTTCCTTTCACCTACTCGCAAGGTGATGGCACACCTGGCTCTGCCAGAAGACTCCAGCACAAGCTGTCACTGCAGAGTCCCAGCTAATCTGCAGTCACCTTACAGGAGCACCTCACTCTCCACTTCTGCAGGAAACTGAACTCTGACCGGATTCAGAAACCTCCCACAGCCAGAAAAATCAGAGCCAGCAGACAAAGTCAAGGCCCCAGCTTCAAGAGATGGCCAATTCCTAGTCCACAAACACATTCTCCCAGGAGCAGGACAAAATATGCCACATACCACACTGCTGGGCACACAAGGTGCCCAGTGCCAGGTATCGCTGAAGCGCCCAACACTGGCAGTCACACCCGTTAGGAAGCGCAGCAGGGGCCCAGCTGACTAGGTGGCCAAACAAGGGAGGGGCCACGAAAGACACTGAGAGGCGGCATCACAGGGGCAGCCCTGGCAGGAGCCCACCACAGCCTCACCCGCTACCCCTCACCCTTCACTCCTCCTCTAGCACAGCACCAGCATTGAACGGTTTCCCTCTGCCTGTACCTTTTGTAGCCAGGAGCCCAAACTCTGCCAGGTCTCTGTACCCTCGACACAACACACTTCAACTCTGAAATCTCTCCCTTCTAAGAACATAGAGAAAAAAGTCCCAAACCTTACTAACATTTCAACAAGTTCAGAAGAAAAGAGCCAAGATGAGAATCAGAGTAAAGCACATCATAAATGTTCTTTTTTTTTTTTTTTTTAATTTATTTATATTTTTGTGTGTGTGTGTGTGTGGCCAGCTCAGCCCACCAGGGGGCGGGGCTGGCTGGCATGTGGTGCTGAGGGATTGAACCGTGGTCCCTGTGCTTTGTTTAGCTTAGCTTGTTCTAAGTAGGTGCTTTAGACCACTGAGCCATCTCACCAGCCCCATAAATGTTCTTTTAAATAGTAGTAACCAGAGAAAGCCTTGTGCTCCATTTGCACTGTGGGCTCCCCGGGCTCAGGAGGGTCCACGATGGCGCGGGGTGTGCGGGGCTGGCTGCGCAGGACCAGCGCGCCTCCCCCAGCAACTGCAGCCTGAAGACAGAGCCAACCTGAGGCCTGTGGGCCACAGCTCAGCGGCACAGCACTTGCCTGGCATGCACAAGCCCTGGGCTTGGCCATCAGCACCACCAAAGGAAGAGCAATAAAAACAATTCAACTCACAGAAGCTTTAAATTCTGGAAGGTCCGGTATTAAGGAACTATGAATTTATGAGCACAGTGCTGTATCAGCAAGTAAGAAAATGGAGCAAAGGTAAACACAAAGCCCTGACTCTGGGGACACAGAAGTCACCTAAGAAGGCAGCCACGGTATGTTACTATGCTCAGCCGTAAGTAATTTACTGGCACTAATGATGTAAGTATCAAATGACAGTATAACCCCAAATTATAACGTAACCGCACTGGAAGGATGGTGGAGCAGAAGCAGAAAGAAAGGTTATACGACAATCCTAAACTCTTGTGTACTGCAACACAAAATCAACAAGTAATAAATGATTGTGATGACTCAAAGGACAGCACTTTACATAGATTATTTATAAACATGGGAGTGAGCCAACGCCAAAACAAACTGTTAAATCTTTATATTCGTAGGAAAATAATTCACTGTATTTTGGGACAGTCCTTTACTATTAATCTCCTTGTTAAGTAAATGTATGTATGCGTAGTTCAACAATTTTAAAAACTGTATTGTACATTTTCAAACAGCATGCTGATATGGTTAGATATCGCTAACTTAAAAAGCATAACCCTCTACAAAAGCACAACATATACCACACAGTGCTCAACATACAAAGAGAAGTAGCATGTTTGTTACTTTTTCCAAATTAACTGGTCTTTTAAAATTTAAATTTAGAAATACTTCATTCGAAAGAGTATTGGAGACTGGAAAATATATTCAACGCATTATAGTGAGCTGTTAGCACACTGTTTAAAAATAAGAGCTGGGGAGAGAGCTCAGTGGAATAAGCGCTTGCCTAGCAAGTGCAAGGGCCTGAGCTCAATCCCTGGTACTACAAAAAAATAAATAAACTGGCCCTACATTTTTGCTTTTGTGTAAACCCCACATTAAAGCAATATAATTATAGGAAAAAAATCCAGCTTGTCTTCATTGGATTTTAGGGTTCACAGAAATAAAAAAGGACCTATCATCAGGAAAGACTACTTTCAACTGGTGGATCGTAAGGAATGTAATACACAAATTAAGGTGCTTCCCTCGCAGAGGCTTTCCTGCTGGCCTGTGCTACTCCTACCCGAATTGCAGGAAACCACCTTTCTTCCCCCGTCCCCAGTACGTGCTCTGAACAGCCAGGTCTCCTTCTGTGTGCCCAGCCCAAGGCCTTCTCTATGCTGAATTATTTTTAGGGTGTTCATCTTCACCAGAGATGTGGAATTTCACCTAAGCAAAGCCCAGCAATTACTCAGAATACTAACCAAAGTGCGCACTCAGT